AAAAATGCCAGATGTGGAACAAATTCGGTTCTGTTACAAGGAGAGCGCTACCTCATTCAATGGCAAACCAGTGTCTACTCCTAACCCCTCCATGTGTGGCTGGCCTGCTTTTCTTCTCTCTTTTAAAAGTAGCACTTTATTCTGAAGTATTTTTCTGGTTTACTTGTGTAAAACCATTCTTTCTATGGTTAAACGCGTCTGTGTGTAACGCATTTCTGTGAGTGCCAGCTCGGGATGGATGGGTGTGAGTTCTCACATTGCCTTCCTTTTGCTTGTGAACACTGATTATTAACACTTTGGTTGTGTGGCTCTCATTCTTGTCCTATGGTCCAAAGACCAACTCCTGGTCATCAACCCCCAGCTATTCTCCCACATGCAATGAAACTCACAAAACAGCTGACTTAATTGCATCTTGAAGATGGATCTAAGATATGACTGCCTAGAATTAATTCCAAACTTCTTACACAACTACCCAAATTCCTTTTCAACAAATTATATGTTTATGTGATTTGTTTTGCATCATGTTTTAAAATATTCTGTATCATGGGAATAGAGGCATTGAGTCTAAACTACAAATGAGTAATATTCAATGACAACATAAACTATTAATAAAATAATATTTTTCTTCAAATTGTAGAAGCAAACGGTAGGTAAAATTAATAATGATTAATTAAGTTGATTTGCAAATAAATATTGTAAGTTTCTGACATTTTCTTGATTTTAAAATTTTGCCAAAGAAGTTTCAGAGCTTTAAATTACAAAAGATATAGTTACTAATGTTACTCTTGGTAACTCAATCCCTTTTCTTGTAGCTGATGTTTACTATCACGTATGCAATAATACACACTGAAATACATTCTCATCTGCCAGTCAGTCACTGAATGTATTACTTGGAAATGTTCTTTCTCTTTCTCTGTATTCACATTATACTGTGCATAGAATATCAGATATTATTTCCTAAATATTTTTCTCCATTAAGTTTATTGGTACATTCAAAGCAAACAATACAGTTATGTGTATCATTGGGATCTTGTACCTTTACATGACAGGTCTTGGTTCTTGCTTTTTCCTTCATACCCCTGCCCTCCCTTCATCCCCTTCACCCTTCCCTATTTACAATGACTTTGTTTCCATTTTTCCTTTTTTCTTTTCCCATATTTCTTTTCCCTTCCCCATCCTACTTCCCCTTTAGTCATTTTCTTCCTATTTCACACTATCGATTGCATGATTTGAACCTTATTTATACTTTCAGTTTTTCAAACCAGAGAAACTATTCAGTATTTACTCGTGTGTCCTTTTTATTTTACTTAATAGTACAGCAACAATGTGCATCCATATAGCTATACATGTTTCTAGTTTCTCATTCTTAATGGCTGAGTAGTACTCCATTATATAGAAAAATCACATCTTATCTGATCTCCAGTTGATGGACACTTGGGCTCTTTCCAAGTTTCAGCTGTTATAAACTGTGCCCCTATAAACATGGGTGCACATATATCACTGTGGTACAATTCTTTTAATTCTTTTGGAAGGATGTCCATCAAAGGGATAGCTGGGTCAAATGGGACCTCTATCCTAGTTCTTTGAGGCATCTCCGTATTGATTTCCACAGTGGTTGCACCAGGCTGCACTCCCACCAACAATGGAGAAGGGTTCCTTTCTCACCACAGCCCCAACAACATTTATTATTGGTTGATTTCTTGATAGCAGCCATTCATTCAGTGTGAGGTGGAATCTCAGTGTTGTTTTCATCTGAATCTCTCGAATCGACAAGTGATGTTGAACATTTTTTCATGTATTTATTTGCTGATTTTACTTCTTTGTCTGAGAAATGTCTGTTCATTTCAGATGCCAATTTTTGAATCGGGTCTTGTATTTGGGGTGGTCTGATTTTTTTGAGTTCTTTATATATTCTAGATAGTAGTCCTTTGTCTGAGGAGTAGCTGGTAAAATTTTTTTTCCCCACATTGTAGGTTGTCTCTTAGCTCTTTTGGTGATTTTTCTTGCACTGCAAAAAATTTTTAATGCAGTGAGATCCCAGTTGTTAATTCTTTGTGCAAGTTCTCATGCTGCTGAGGATTTATTTAGAGTCTTCTTCTATGCCAATTCTTCAAGAGTTCTACCTAATTTAATCTCCAGTAAGTTTAGTGTTTCTGTTTTGATATTTAGATATTTACTCCACTTGGATTTTATCTTAGTGCATGGTGAAAAATAAGGATCAGTTTTAATCTTTGGCAAGTTGAAAGCCAGTTTTTCCAACACCATTTATTAATGAGGCTATCTTTCCTCCAGTGAGGATGGTTGGGTCCTTTGTCAAAGATGAACTAGCTGAATATGTCTGGCGTTGCTTCTGTATCTTCTAATCTATTTCATTTATCTGCAGGTCTGTTTCTTCACCAGTACCATGCTATTTTTATCAGTGGCTTTGTAGTATAGATTCAAGTTGGGAATTGTGATACCCCCTGCCATGTCTCTGTTGCCTAGAATGGTTTTTGCTATTCTAGATCTCTTCTGGTTCCAAATGAATTTTTGGATTGTTTTCTCAAGTTCTGTGAAATATACTTTTGTCTATTTCTATACACATTATTGTGTATTGAGGTCCCTCACCACAATTGTATTAGTGCTTATTTCATTTTTCATATCCATTAATATTTGTTTTATATAGTTGGGCACATTAGTATTTGGTGCATATACATTTATTTATGATTGTCATTTCTTCCACTTGTATTGTTCCCTTTAAAAGGATGTAGTGGCTTCCTTTGTCTCTCTTAGTTTTCTGTCTGCAAATAAGATAGCTACCCCCACTTTTTTCTGAGCTCATGTTCCACGGAGCATCCTTTTACTCTCATTCTGTGAATTTATTTGTGGATTAAGTGGATTTCTTATATACAGAATATTGTTGGATTTTGCTTCTTAATCCATTCTGCCAGCCTATTTCTTTTGATTGGTGAATTGAGGCCATTAACATTGATGTTTATTACTGTTATATGTTGACATTTCATTGTCATGTTATTTTCTTGTTGCTGGTTTTTAATTTTTTTATTTTTCCATCTCTCCCTTTAATTTCTTGCCTTGCCTGATATATTTGCTCTGTTGGACCTTTGGAGTTTCTTTATCCAGGATATTGTTTAGAAGTGTTTGGAGAGCTGTTTTGGTGTTCATGAAATTTCTCAGGTGTTGTTCATTGTAGAAGTATCTTATTTCCCCATCAATTTTGAAAGATAGTTTTGCAGGATTCATCAGTCTAGTTTGGAGGTTGTTTTCTTTTAGGGCTTGAAATACCTCACTCCAGACTCTCCTTGATTTGAGGGTTTGTATTGAAGTCTGCTGTGATTCTGATGAGCTTTCCTTTGAATGTGATTTGTTTCTTTTCTCTAACTGCTTGTAGTATTTTGTTCTTCTGTTGAGTTTCTGGGATCTTGAATATTATATGTCTAAGTGTAGATTTTTTTTTTTTGATCATGGGTAGTTGGAGTCCTATATGCCTCACTTATCTCTATGTGAAATCTTCCCCTCTGTTTGGGAAGTTTTCTGTAATTAATTCTGTGGACAGTATTTTTTTATGTCATTTGTACTTTCTCCTGCTACTTCATGGATTCCTATCTGTCTTATATTATTGTTCTTTGCATTGTCTAAGAGTTGTTGGATCAATTTCTCATTATCCCTTACTGTTTTTTAAGAGCTCTCACTTTTCTTGGTCACTTACTGCAGTCCTATCTTCTTCTTCTATAGCTGAAATTCTATCTTCACATTCATTCATTCTGCTATGAATGCTTTCTATAGCATTTTTAATCTCCTGGAAATCTGTTTCAATCTGTTTCATAGATTCCATTTCTTTTCTGTGTTGGGCATTCAAGGTTTCCATTTCTTTCCTATGCTGGGCATTTATGGTTTCCTTCGTGCTCCTGAGCTCATCTATTTCTTTATCTGTTTCTGGAGTCTTTAATCATGTCTTTCATTCTTCTCACCATCTCTGTGATTATCTGGTAAATTATTTCTGTTTTGAATTTTTCTAGAGCCTCATTTATCTGTTTTCTTACTTCTTGTGCTATTAGTTCAGGGTGTCCAGATGGTTGACTCTCAGACTTTTCCACCTCATTTCCCCCAGAGTTTACCTTTGGTATGGTGGAAGTCTGTGTTTGTGTCTTGTTTAAATATCTTCTCATTTCTATTTTTGTCATTGGTACTGTCCTTGATTTAATTCCTGGGTTAATACTTCAATCTTCTAGATATAGCTGGTCTTTTGGTTTTGAGTCTCTAATGACTCTGAGGCAATATCATTTTCATTATACCAGGGAGGAAAACTGATTAGACCAATCACAACACCTTAGCCCAAGTGATATAATAATCAACACAATAGCAGGAAGCACAGCTCAGAAATTGAACATTTGTGGTAGTTATTAATCTATCACCTTTAAACCATGTGAATTAAAATCCAGGACCAGCCCAAAATATGTTTACACTGAATAATCTCTTCAGTATAGCAACTTTACCCTCAGGATTGGGATTTAGAAGGAATTGGGGAGGAAGGGACTGATAGATAGGATAGAGAAAGGTTAGAAGTGAGGTCAGAGGTCACAGGAAGATCACACAAACTCTAGGAAGCTGTTGAAGAGGAGAAGACAGAACAAAATATACACAAGAACAGAGCAAACTAAAAGCAATAGGGAGGCTAGAGACTGTAATCACTTTCTTTTAAAACTAATGGAAGTTGAGAGGAGGAAAAACAGAAGACAAGAAAAGAAAAAATAAATTTGAATTAGGATCAGAACAGGAACAAAAAGGGAGAGTAATGAAGATCAAGGTTGGGGCAGGGAGAAAAGAAGATAAGAAAAAAAAAGATAAAAAAGAAAACAATTTAAAAAAGAAAAAGATAAAAAGATTTTTAAATGATTAAAGATAAGATGAAAATATTACTTTGTCTCCTGGCAGAGCCAGGGAGGAGGTAGGGTGAGCCCTCCTCAGAACAAATAAGGCCCCTGAGAGCTCCATTTAGCTCACAGGATAAAATCTCCCGGCAGAGCTCAGAGTCAGCAATGGCTAAGCCCCAAGTGGTTGTGGCTCCTGTGTTAATGTCTAAGCTGTCTGCCAACACCCCCGAATTTTACCCACCAGGTTATTCTGCTTATACAGAATCCTATGAGGATGGTTGTGAAGACTGTCCTACTCTGTCAGACTATGTTCAGGAGTTTTTTTTTTAATCATCTTACATAGCAACCTGCAGTTTTGAAACTGAAATTGAACAGTTTGCAGAGATCCTGAATGACTGGGTTACAACAGATGATGCTTTGCAAGAACCTGTGGAACTCATCTATCAGCAAGCCACATGTATCCCAAATTTCTCTTACATGGGAGCTTGCCTGTGTAATTACCTGGCCCATCATCTGACAATTAGTCCACAGAGTAGCAACTTCCGCCAATTGCTACTTCAAAGATGCCGGACTGAATATGAAGTTTAAGATCAAGCTGCAAAAGAGGATGAAGTGACTTGGAAATGGTTTCATGTATTTGTACTCTTTCTGGGAGGACTTTATCTTAACCTGGAGATCAGTGGAAGCAATGGACAGGTTGCAAGAGCAGATATTCTTCAAGTTGGTCTGTGTGAATTGCTGAACTCTCTCTTCTCTAATCCAATGGATGAAAACTTAATTTGTGCAGTAAAATTACTAAAGTTGACAGGGTCAGTTCTGGAAGATGCTTGGAAAGAAAAATTAAAGACTGATATGGAAGATATTACTCAGAGAATTGAAAATGTCCTAGATACAAACTACAGCAGAGATGTAAAACAGATGCTCTTGAAGCTTGTAGAACTCCAGTCAAGTAATTGGGGTAGAGTCCATGCAACTTTGGCATACAGAGAAGCAACACCTGAAAATGATCCTAACTACTTTATGAATGAACCAACATTTTATACATCTGATGGTGTTCCTTTCACTGCAGCTGATCCAGATTACCAAGAGAAATATCAAGAGTCACTTGAAATAGGAGTTTTTCCAGATTATGAAGAAAATGGAAAAGATTTATCAAGGGCTGGTGATCCATACTTGGATGATATTGATGATGAGATGGACCCAGAGATTGAAGCTTATGAAAAATTTTTTTTGGAATCAGAGCATAAGTCAAAACAGTAAAGTTAAATTTCAGCATATCAGTTTATAAGACAGTTTAGTTGTGTTGATTTAGCAGAACACAGGAAAGCAGGAACATGTGTCATACTTATACCAAATTAAGGATGTTGAGTTATGTTACTAATGTATGCAACTTTAATTTTGTTTAACACTATCTGCCAAAATAAACTTTACTCCCTATAACTTAAAATGTTTATATATATAAAATAGTTTATTATGTACAGTTACTTCCACTGTTTTGGCTGCAATGAAATCAATTCTGAAATAAGTGGAACGTTGAAAGTAAATTTTGCTAGCTTGGTTAGATGCTTATATTTTAAGTTTTCTTTCTTGAGGGGAAGAAACATCAGCCTAGAAATACATATTACTGCAAATATGTAGCATTCTTTTTTAAATAGTAATATAACAGCTTTTATTTTACCTTAAATATCTCAGTTGAGTTTCAATTATGGTGGGACATATTTGAGAGGCTGAGGCAGAAGGATGACTGTGAGTTCAAGGCCAGCCTGGGTTACATAGTGAGTTCAAGGCCAGCCTAAACTATATAGTGAGACCCTGTCTCAAAAAACAAAACAAAAAAATCTAATATTAATCCTAGTCATGAACAACCTTAGCACTAGTCTTGGAGTATATTCATAACTGATTAACATATGTAGATGCTATTTGGTTCAAAGGACTTGTAAAATATCATTAGTAGGAGGAAGAAACTTCGAACTCCCAGCTAAACAACCAGGCTCTTCACTGAGGATTTATTCCAAGGATACTTTTTTTCTTTTACTTGACTAACTTCATTACTCTAAGGCCTAGACATTATTGTGATCTATTTATATGGCTTTCTCACTTTTATTTTGTAGCATGGATTATATTGACCTTTTTACTAGAAAATTTTACTAGATATTTGTCATTCAAGTTTTCATCTGCTTTATAATTGGTACACCTTGAGGATCACTTTTCTAATACTTTTACAATAATGTGGTACGACCTCAGCCAAATCTAAGTAGTATTTTTACCTAATGTCAAATGTTTTTCCAACTAACTAAAAGTCAAACATATATAAAAGGGTTGGCTATAAATATGCATGTAAATAGTTCTGTTAATAATCCAGAGTTTTACATTTGGTACATCTGTGTCTGCTAATACAGTTAGCTTTCTCACTTTTCTGCTTGTTTGTTCAGTCTGAATTAAAATTAGACTTTGAAAATAAAACTTAAATAGTTTTGTTTCCTCTAAAAAATATTACTTTGACAATAAAAAAATACTAATAGAAATAGAGGGCCTCCTTCAGGGTATGCCTCTGTTAACTCAATAGACAGTGTGGGCAGGAGTGTGTAGGTCTAAGTTAATTAGTCTCAGAAAGCCAGCAGCTGTCCCCTGAGGTTCAGGCTGATTTTTGGCTGCAAGTCCCACTTTGAGATCTCTGTCCTCCTGCTGGATTGAACTCTGCAAGTTTCTACTGCAGGTTCCAGCTGTCTTTCCCCTGAAGTTAGACCAGGTTCTGATGTGAGGAGCTGGTGCCTTCTACTTACCAACTATGGTGATGTGGTATGCCTTTATTGCAGATTTTCTTCATTTTTCCAGTGGGCTTCAATTTTCATGTAGGAGCCTCAGAGAGGGCCTCTTTCTCTTGTTCATGGGGCAGGGGTGGGTGGCATGAACACCACTGTGTCAGTGCCCATGCAGCCTGGCTCCTCTGGCATGATGGGTCAAAGGAGTGGGCCTACCAGAGGGTTGCAAGCTGCTGTTGGTCTCCTTTAGTGTGCTGGAATGAAGGCTTCCTAAATATTTTAAACCAACACTACCAATCATTTTGAATCATTAATATAATTTTTGTTGCTTGCAGACACCTGCCACTTCAATTAATATGTGGCTTGTGTGCTGAAATGTTTAGTTACACAGGTGGGAAAAATATCCAACATTAATGTCGTCTTTCCAGCCTTCTTTGGATTCACATAAATGGTGATGTCATTGTGGTAAGGTGATAATGTTAAAGACATTTCACAAATTGTGGCCAGGAAAAGTGGAAACCCACAGGCTCTCTGCATGCCCAGTGGCTTCCCTGTCTTCCTCTGAGCATAACAGTCACGTGCACAGCTGGGGGAGGTGATAGTGCAGCTGTGGCCACTGGGCTATGGCTTCATGTGGCGGGAGATTCTTGATAAGAATGGTCAACCCCAAATTGCTTTCTCTACCAGTTCTACATTGGCCATGCCAACTAGGAAGTGATGATTTAAAACAGAATTAGCTTTCAATAAATACCACTGGGGTTCAGTGCTGATTTTAAGTCTAAAAAAGGGCATAACTATGAAGGCATTGATGACCAAATTAGTCTTATGACAAAGGAATGGCCATCAATATAGGAGGGTGTGAAAGTCTCAGTGGTGAAGCTCTTAGCTGGACCCATGGCAGGATGGGGGCCTGGGACTGGAGGCCCACAGAGCCAAAGCACAGAATCTTGGTAAAGACAAAGTCACGAGTCTGTTGGGTTATCAGCCAAAGAAAGCAGACTTCTGGGGCTGTTCACAAACTGAGGGCTGGACAGGGCATCTGTGAGACCATTCATAACAACTGGTGATCAGATCCAAAGCAGCCAGCAGTCTTGCATGGGTCAGAGTGACTGTGGAAGCAGAAAGAGGAACATATGCTCACATGCTGGCTACTTGTGTTGCCTCCAACCAGCAATTTCCCACAGAATGAAGACTACTGTTGCCCCAGAATATCCATGGCTATTACCTTCTGAAAGGTGCACTGGAAAGGACTCTGACTCCCAAGGACATTGGTAGGCATCTTCAAATCCATGCATCATTCCTAGCTGTCCTACACATGCAGATGCATTTCCCCTTCACACCATGCATGAAGCAGCCACTAGTATTGTCTTCAGTTCCTCAGGCCAGGAAACTAAGTCACAAAGAGTACAAATAGCATGTCTGAACTTACACACAGAGCCCAGGGCAAGAGACACAAGAACTCATGTCTGTGCGAGTAATCAGTAGGAGCACTGGATTCCCTCACAGAGGAAGAGCAGCCTGTACATTCAGCAATGATTACTTAGCTGTCCAACCTAGGGGCCCAGTGTGATGGGCAAACAAAGTGAGCCCCCAGACTCAAGAGGTTTCCGTTCTGCTAGAAGCAACAGGCAAAAGTCAGAATCATGCAGCTGTAAAGAATCAATCAGCATGTGAGAGCGGAGATTTCTGAGTAGGTCAACACCAGCTCCAAAGATGCTAATTATCTCAAAGAAAATGGGCCAGCCCTATATATTTTTTCACTCAACTGCTTCCTAATCTCAATCACCAAACATGTGTCCATACAGTGGACCTTTGCCTTAGGAATGCTATTCACTTACAAGGATTGGTTGTAACTCAAGTTGCACAGTTGAAGGCTCAGGCATCAAAGCCTCTATCCTGTACACAGGCAGATCTCAGTGTCCTCAGAGAGACACTAGCCCAGAATTTCTCAGTGAACCCCACACAGGAAAGGATGCTGTCTTGTTCTTTCCAGAACTCTGTAAGGGTTAAAACTGTATCTGATACCATCTGGAAACACAAGCAGCCACCATTAAGGTTATAGCTCAAGACTTTATTCATAAGTTAAAACTAAAATTCCAGGTGGAACCCAAGTTGTTTGTATGTAGGGCTGGTTGTAACTGGAGGGCCAAGTGTAGATGCAAAGAGAAGTTGGATTAATTAGCCAATTCAGGAAATAGCATTTCACATCTACACATACTTAGCATTGAGCTAGCATCATCACACACTTCAGAAAAAAATTTCTTCATCTTAATAGGTGGACACTGTAAATTACAAACATGATCGATGCATGACTATCATTTTGGGGTGTTCAGTCCTCTGGGAGGAAAACAAAAACAAAACCTCTCACACAGCCAGGAGAGGACTGAAAAAGGCCAAATTCCCATTCTAAAAAAGGGTATTCAAAGGGAAGTGAATGAGAAGGCACCATGTGGTCAGAGATTCATGGAGGGAGGTGGCTGTCTGGAGACGAAGGCCCCAGGAGAAGGGAGCAGCCTAAATTAAGGCTTCTGAGAGCTGGGTCTTCCTTGGGAATATCAGCAGGGAAGCCACTAAGATGAGTGTAGAGAGAGATGGCAAGGGGAGTGGAGGGGCCAGCAGGTGGTAGCTGCCGTCATTCAGGGCTCTGGTGGCCCCTCAAAATTCTTTCTTTCTCCTCCCAGTGGCTCTGGAAGCTAAGGGAGGGTTTGAAGGAAGAGTGATACTTGATCTGTCTTCTGCTAGGATCACAGGATGTGGCATAGGAAATAGAAAGGGGAAGAGGACAGGGGCGCAGGAAGATAATAAGGAGGTACATTGAACTTGACATTTCAGGGTAAATGTAAAACACATCTCCGCAATTACACAGTCTCATAGAATTAGGCCTTTCGAGTTTATGTATTCAAATACTAAGCAAAGCCTAACGTTGCAGAGGAGTTATCTGTGTATGTCAGAAATGTGTCTACACCAGCAAAGTCCACTTCCCATTTGGAGCCTTCCTGAATGCTCTAACATGGGCAGCCTCACTTCCTTGTATATTTTCTCAAAAGTAGTATCAGCTCTCCCTTGGCACATGGTCTCAGGTGTCAAAGGACAAGCGATATGGTGGTTTCATATTCTCACCTTCCCCTTAAGGAGGCGTCAACCCCTCTTTCAGGCTCTCCTTGCCTTAGCTTGTTGGTCTGGTAAGATTCTCTGCTCCAGTCTTCACTACCACCAGTAGCCCCTTGAGAGGCTTTTAGTAAAGACATCACTCTGCAGCTTTCTGACCGCTAGAACTGTAGATCTCAGAAGACTACAGGGGTGTTGATATGGGCTACATCGATATTACCTGAGAACTACTGCAGCAAATGGTCTGGACCTAAATGAGATCAGAATAACCCATTCATATGCATCCACTCAGATTTTGAGTGTGACTTTAGAAATGTAATCATTCCCCACAGATTGAAGGCATAAAAGTGGTACTCACCAGAAGACTTATTAAGTTACTTTAAAACTATC